CCAGCTCATGAACGACCTGGACCCTCAGGAAGAAATGGAATCAGCTGTTACAATTAGCCCTGAGGAAAGATTGATGATGGAGGTCACCTGTGCTGCATAACAGATGGGCCTGGGAGCTGCCGGGCTGTGGGCTCGAAGCCTCTATCCCTGAGTTCCCTCGATCTCAAAGGCTGTCCTGATTTTCAGTGCTTTCTGCTGGTCACAGGTACGTTAGTGATTAAAATCAATGCACTGTGTTAAAAGAAGACACTGAACGTCATAAGTGACTTTGGCATTTCAGGATCGTTCACAAAGAGCTTTGCATCCTTCTTCTTTATCTTCATGGCCATTCTGTGCCATCATCTTCCCTCCTTTTACAGGTGATGATTGGAAAAGGTTATGTCTTTCCCAACATATTCGATCCATAGCACCAACCTATGCAGAATTTGGAGTCTGCTTTTGTGATTATGCATGTAGGACTTTATTTTTTCACTTGTATTTTCCAAGTACTGTCCTTCTATTTTATTTATTATTTTTTTGAGATGGAGTCTCGCTCTGTAGCCCAAGCTGGAGTGCAGTGGCATAATCTCGGCTCACTGCAAACTCTGCCTCCTGGGTTCAAGCGATTCTTATGCCTCAGCCTCCCCAGTAGTGGGGTTTACAGGTATGCACCACCACGCCTGGCTAATTTTTGTATTTTTAGTAATGACGGGGTTTTGCCATGTTGGCCAGGCTGGACTCGAACTCCTGACCTCAGGTGATCCACCCACCTGCTCCACAACAAGTTCATTCAAGAAATTGCTAAGTGTGCATTTGGTGTTCTCAAACCATAGGTATGCCTCAGAGAAAAATGAACACAGGGAAATGCTAACTCTGGCAAAAGTGCAGTATAAAGGGAATTTCATATTCAAGATGCTCCTCTGCATCCTAGGACCACTCCCCTTCGCCAGCCTCCTTCCATGCCCTTTGAAGAGAATGTGAATACAAATGCATTTGGCATAGCAGGCATATTGCACAATATTGCTTGGCGATACTTTCAGGTCTCATGCCCAAGTTCTTTGATGTGCGTTATTTAAATTTAAAAACAATGGCTGAAGATGAAAGAGTAAAATGTCCCCTATGCTATTTCTTGTAAAAAGTCATAATTATGTGTCATATGTGATGATAAAGTGAGTCATCAAACATAAATATCTCCAGGGAATCCTTTGTTCTGCTCTTTTCGACCTGGTAAAATTGTCTGATAGAGGGAAGGGGATATTAACTAAAATTCTGATTCTAAAGAAGTCATGTTTGTTTGTCAGTGTTCTTATTTGTTTTGGGAAACCAGTAAGAAATGAAGTTAGCCAATCCTTTAAAATTAACTGTCCGAAAATACACACATGCAATGCATGAAGAACTGAAGTATTGTAAGTCAGTATTGACCATCAGGACTTTGAAGCAAGGAATAATTGTGCATATTTTTAGATGGGACAAGGAGTTGGGAGGGAAACATTCAGGACTGGGCATACGAAGACCTGATGATGGGTGAGGGGATGCAACCTGTGTGGCCAGCCTCAGGAAATATGCCTTGGGCCTCTCTTTTGCAGAAGTAAAAGACCAGCGCAGTTATGTGGATCTATGAAATTTCTCATGGCTGTTATTTGGGGATGTATTGGAACCTTATATTCAGGTAGTGGCTCTGCTGCTCTCTGACAACATGCCATGGATCTAGATGTAAACACTTCACCTTTGTAACCTCAGTGGGAAAATTAGAATGATAAGGTCGTCTGCATCGTATGTTTGTTCTGAGGGAAGGAAAATTCCGATATTTTTCTATACATGTACAGATTATGTGCACACATGGACTCACTGAAACTTTGAGTCACTAATGTGTTTTCCCTTATCTCAAGAAGGCTTGTAGAAGTTCGCAAAACCTACCAATTTCAGACTGCAGGGTAAAATACCAGCAGGGCAGAGCGGGAACAACCCTAGGCTGTGCAGTTAGGATGTGCTGAGTGTGAGTCCTGACTAGTAACCCGTGTGACTTCTAGCAAGTTACCTAAGTCGTCTGAGCCTCCGCTTCCTCATCTCTAAAATGAATATTGTTTCAGTCATGCCGTCATCGAGGTCTTGTGCATTACATGACAGTCATATAAAATTCAAGCACAGAACCACACCTTGAGCACAGCAAGCACTGCCCCAGTGGCAAATATCAGCGTGTGCCATGCAAACATGCTTGTGTCTCAGGTCAGTGCAGGCACAGTGGCAAAGCCACAGAGAGACGTGGTTTTGCCTCTTGTGGTTCTTGTGATCTATGGAGAGACAGACAGTGAAGCAAAATATCACACAGAAGACCTGTAACACTGCAGGACTGATGAGAGCAACGCTGAGTCAGGGGACCTTTGAGAAAGTCCAACAGGAGGACCTTTCTGGCTGTGATTGAGAAAACTCCTCCTTCTGGTACACACATGCCACTCGGGTATGGGACTCACTGCGGGGGCAGCACTGTCCCTCCCATCCAGCCAAGGGCTCCTTTCCGTGCCTCGCCCGTCTCCCCTGCTGACAGGTTCACGCCGGGCTGCTGTTGGCCTTGTGGCTGCCGGGCTCCTCCTTGCAGCCTCTCTGCCAGTGCTTTGTTCTGTGGGAAGAGCAGAGACAGCGTGAAGTAGCTGGAGACACCACAGCGACATCTCCTGATGGGCACAGGGCGAGATTGGCTTCTGCTCCTGAAGCCTCTTCCAAGGGCTGCTCAGCCCTGCATGCTGCCAAGCTGCAGGGAGGCACTGTGGGAACAGGCAGGAGGGGAGGAGGCTCGTCGGGGAATGGCAGCTTCCCAGCACTGCTCACTCACAGCCCTGTCTGCAACAAGAGACGAGCTGGAAACCACGCTGGAGCTCACGTGCTTGCCACTGCCAGCCTCTTCTTGAAAGCCCCTCTGTGATGAGAAACAAACGCTTTCTCACCCAGCCATCACCCTACCATCATCTATTATGCGTTGTCTTATGCAAAATAAATAAAACACAGAAAACAGCATGTATCTCTGTGGAAACAGCATTTTCATAAATTATACAAAAATGAGCGAATTGGAGGAACTTCAAGAAATGTAAAGGCTTGCTAAAATTTTGCTCTTAATTAACTTTCGAAGTAGGGTCCAAAGTCAGTATTCAAAGACAGGTTTCAGTTTTGTTTCCTCACTCCACCAGCATCGGAAGGAAATACAACTGAGAAGGATTACTTTCCAGCCACCATATCTGCTCTTTGGGTGAAACAAGGGTCAGAGTATATGAGTCTGGAGACAACACCATTGCTCCGCGTGAGGATGGAGCTCCTGGGGACGTTCACAAGCGCGGACCGCCTCGCGGGGGCTGTGTGTGTCTGTGAAGCTCTCTAAGCACCTTCCTTCGGTGACTGCACCTCCCGATGGGTTTTCTGCAGACACAGAAGTAGGGCAGCTTTGGATGAGTGCAGGCGTATTGTGTGAAGCTCAGAAGTTTCACAGGCAGAGTCCTAGAGCTGTATTTCTGGATGTAGTTTAACATTCAGATACCTCAGATATTGCAGAGAGGAAGTGGGAAGGTCATGTTCCTTCTCAACCCTGGCTGCAAATTATCAGCAGGGCCGAGCTGTACTGTTCTGGGAATAGGATTGGGGAACCCAGCACTGAAGAAGGATGTTGATTTGATGGTGGTCCTCAGTCTGACTTGGGCCAGACAGTTCAACATTCTGAAAGGAAAGTACAGAAGCCCTGTCTTTCTGAGGCCTATCTGTAACACATGCTCATTCTTTCCAAATTATTTGCTGGAAAACAACAATCATAGAGTTATTAATGTGTGCCCGTTCCTGTCTATACTGGTTGATACTGATTCACAAGTATGAATGAACTTATGAGGTGGGTGACATTGTGATCCCCAGTTTACAGATGGGGAAACTGAGGTACGGTTTAACTTGCCCAAGGTTCATAGCAGTGGAGTTAAGATTTGAAATCAAATGTCTTACGCTCTCTTATCGATGAAAACTGAGCTGCTATCTATCAGCTCACCACATAACAACACAGGAACATCCCAATTATTTCCAATGTTTCCCAGAGGGATTATTTTTTCTCATAATAAAAATTATCTGGAAATTTCTAGGCCCATAAACAGCTTGAAAAGGGTGCACATGAAGCAGTGAATAACAGTAATGTGTGCCATTTTTATATCAACATGTTCATATGTGCTAATGAATTTTACAGTGGATTTTTTTTTAATCATGACTATTATAAGCTGATGTCATTTAAATGCAAGATACAATGAGGATTACCAGATTTTATTCCTCTTTATATTTTACATAAGTCTTCTAGGGCTCCATGGGTATAATCTTGAAACATAGGCCATTCCTGAAAAAAACAATTGCTTATAACCATTTCAATGTGCAACGCACCTCTTTGTAGATGTTACTTTCTTTCATCCAAGTATTACATTTGGCAACAAGACTCTCGATGAGAGCCCTCTCTTCCTTTTGTGTCATTGTTTCCTAAATAAAGCAACACATGCAGTTCCTGACGGCAAGAATCAGACTGAGATCCCGAAACCTCCGTCTGTTTCTGTGTCTCAGAGGAAACGGCCGGGGACACGGAGAGAGAGGGAGAGAGGAAGGAGAAAACGGCAAAGCCGCAGGCGCAGCCCCGCATCGGGCTGAGGAAGGACACCCCGCCCCGCGGGCGCGGCCGGCCTCGGTCCCAGTCTCCGCGTTTCTGAGACAGGCCGGGGGAGCCCGGCCGTGAATCAACTGCGTAAAAGCTGCGGGTCCCTGTGTCTGAGCCGAGCCGTCCCGCGGCCGCAGAGCCCGGTGCTCCCGGCCCCCCGGAGGCCGCCCGTCTGCCGCGGACGCGCCGCGCTGCGCCCGGGTTCCCGGGGAGCGTTGCCTCCGGCCCGAGCCGAGTTCGAGGCCGCCGGGCGCCGCTGACGTCAGGGCCTCCACGGCGGTGATTGGATCTAAGGAGACGCTGCGGCAGCAAATCGACGAGCTCCCTGCGCGATCGGCTTCAAAGTGGCTGGTGCCAAACAACTCGCAGAGGCGCAAAAGTAGCCGCCCGCGCCCGCCCCGAGCCCGGAGCCCAGACCGGCGGCGGCAGCAGGAGCCGGGAGCGCTCGGGACGCCCGTGCCCTTCCCGCCCTCGGGGTCCGGGGAGCCGCCCGCCCCGCGCGCCCAGCCCGGCGGGAGCAGGTCGCCGAGAACCGTCCGGGAGAGACAGGCAGAGACGCGGCGCGCGCTCCTGCTCCGTCCTGAGAAGCGTCCGCTCCCGGTTTCCAGCCTCAGAAGCTCCGCGGCGGCGGGAAGGAGGCAGCGGAGGGGCAGGTGCCGGAGGCGCCCCGGGCTCCGCGACTGCGTGTCGGCCATGGCCTCGGTCCTGGGGGGCGGCAGAGGCTCCGGAGGGCTGAGCAGTCAACTCAAATGCAAGTCCAAGAGGAGGAGGCGGCGGCGCTCCAAGCGCAGAGGTAAGGACCGCGCGGCGCCGGCCCTGCGTCCACCCCGGCCTCTGCTGGGCGCTCCGGGCTTGTCTGTTCTGAGCACTTCACTTCGGGGCGCTGGCGGGACAGCCCCTCCGTGCAGGGCGCCGGGCGTTTGTATCCCCGTGTCCGTGGTCAGGGGGCTCCTTGCGCGCAGAAGGGACAGCGAGCAGCGCCTCAGTGACACGTTTGGGGGACCGGGACAGAGGGCGGCGAGGAGCCCCCCGTGGACCCCGCGGTCCCCACGCCGCACACGGGGCTGGCACCGCCTCCCACCCTCCCGGGGCCAAAGGAAATGCCCACCTAAGCCAACGTCCCCAAAAGCGGGGGACGAGCCCTCGCGCGGGCTACCCCATCCCAGCTGTCCCCGAGGCAGGGGCGGGCGGAGCCCCGTGGCCGCCTCCCCAGGTGGGTTGGCAGCTTTGAGTCCTTGACACCCGTCGTTTTGTAAACACTGGGACCTACAGAGAACTTAGGGCTCGTCCTCGGAGAAATAAGCAGAAACGAATCCTTGGAAACAGAAAGAAGCATCCCATTTTGTTAGTGGTGGGGAAAAAAACCTGCAAAGCAGGAAAGCAGGAAAAGCAGCTGGCGACAGTTGCCGCTGAGAAACTGCCAGGCTGCGCCTTGTTATGAGATTGCTAGGGCTGGGCCGCGCCGAAGTTAGCCAGGGCCGCAGCCGGCCAGGGCCGCACTCACACCGGGGCTGTGCAGAGCCAGCGACCGCTCCGCTGTGAGCGACGCCCGGTGCCACGGAAAGATGAGAAGATCCTTCTCATGCCGCCTCCTCTCTCCCAGAAAGGAACCTGGGTTACTGTCAGCTCCTGGGGAGCCTGCAGGAGAAAGTTCAGCTCTTAGCATGATTTGAAATGTGCCGGTATTTTAAGGGAATGTAGAACTGTAAACACAGTTGGAAAAACACAGCCAGCGTTGATCAGCCTTGCCAGCTGTTTGAAAGCAGGAGGCAATGTTAGATGTGTTTGGAGTTGTCCGTGTTTCCTGGAGAATTCTCATCTTTGCATTGGCCTGTGACAAGTTTCCACCAGACCATTATTTCCTGTGTGCCCTCTGTCACCAGGGCCTTTACTGCTTCCTCCAATAATAGAAATTATCCAGACAGTCTGAAGCATAATGGCAATAGCAAACAGTCGTTGACTATGACCGAAGGTCAGGACCACGGGGAGGGTATGGGGCCCCACAACTTCCTCTAAAGGGTTCAGAGCCTTTGGTTTCAGGAGGGGGTTGATGTTCTGATTCTCCTTTAACTCTCAAGCTGCTATGGTGTGTGCTTGCGATGCACTTTGTCATTTGAAATTATCATTTTGAAACAGACCTGTTAGTGTCCTCTGAAGATAATGCCAACACAAAGTGGCGTTGCTATTGAGAAAGTCACCGGATTGAATAATGAATGCGACTTTTAAAAGAGGGAAAAAGGAAGTGTCATCTCTATACTTCAAGTGTTCACGTCTCCCAATATTTTTTTGCTTAGTCTATTTAGATATTTAGAGTTGAAGAATGTGGAGTAATAGTTCACAATAAAGCAGTTTATAGAAATAGAAACTGGTGGGAAGTTCAGCCTTTCTCCAAATTCACTTGTCTTGCCATGAATGTCAGTCGTGCTAGCTTAGAAAGTATTCAATTTAAGAGAAAAAGGCAAATCTGGAGAAAGACTTCGTTTGCTATAAACTTTAGCAATTCAAAATAAAATTCGTATACCAAATAGTACCATACCTTGGCTATTTTGAATATATCAAGTCCCTTAATTTTCATAGACAAAAATTAAAGCGGGAAAGGGCATTGAGGATTTGTACACTGATTTCTATTACGAAGAGATTTGTGGTGTCGGGAGAATTTCCCATGGCACCTGCCGGCCGCTATCTTGATAGGAAAGTCAAATCAAATCGCTAAATATTCCATTTTTGGGGAAACGTAACCATGTAGATGCACCTGATCAAATTAAAAGGTGACACAGCCAGCAAAGAGACACGCTAAATAATTATTTGCATTTTACTTGGAATAGATCACTTCATCTATGATACATAGTTATTACAGATGTTGTTTTTTCTATTTTATCAAAAACCATGGCTAGTTTAAATTATGTCCTAATTGTCATGAATCTTAACAACCATAAATGAACAGAATAACCTCAACTTTTAAGCTTACCTGATATTAAAACTCTGTACTTGCCACAATTTAAAATCCATGTGTGTATGAGACTGTTAAGGAATTCTAGTGTGGCTCTATTGGGTACTGAAGACACTGATGGAAGCACAAAGTAAAGGCTCTTTTTATAGGGGAATAAAGACATTAAGATACATTCTGACCTTGTTGCCTGTGAGATGTGTATTTCCACCTAGCCTAAGGGACAAGAATCATTTTTGAAGATGCATGATAACTTTTAGTTTCCCAGTGTGTTGAAATGTGGTTCCTTGTCTATATGTGCACTCTGAGAGTGACTTTGGCATGATCTGCTTCTTATCAAAATGATCTGTGATCTCTGAAATAAAGCATGCCGTAGCTACAGCTGAAGTGTGGTCATGACACAATACTTGCATTAAGTACAATCCATCTTCCTGGTAATGATATTCTTGCTACCACGCCACAAAGGAAGCTGTATGTATCTTTAAAAATAAAAAAAAATCTACCTTCGTCACAGAATATGACTTTCAGGTATTATTTGGCAGGAACCTGCATTTCTCTCTCAGATAAACTTTAAAGAAGATTCTCAGAATATGTCTCCCCACACATCAATCCTACTTCTGCTATTTTACTGGGACCTAGTGTTGTACAGTTTTGCATTTTCTGTTTTGTTTTTCAGTAGGGACTTTCTTTTAGAAATTATTCACAAATGGTTTAAATGTTTCATGTAAATGAAAACTGCCAAAATTTGACTCTTCTATGGGAGAAAAACAAGCTGCTAAAAAAGAAAAGCTATGAGAAGGACAGGGAAAACCTCTCTTATTTTTACATCTATGGCAAAGCAAGGTTCATATCCCATGACACACATGAGACACGTCAGTATGTCCTGCGCCTGCCTCATTCAGAGCCGTTCAGAAAATAATAGTGCTTGGAGTTTACGGAGACTCTTACCTGCCATCACCAAATACCCATGCAGTTCATTTCTCACAGAGAGTACCAAGAGATTGCAAGTCATTTTATATTTATTGGTAGAATTGCACGAGGTGATTGTGTACAACCAAATCCATATATGTAGTTTAGAGAGTAACACCTGCCTGTATTAGAAAATAACTCAATGTGTAAGTATCATAAAAGGATACATTTTAACAACAACAAAAAAAGAAAAATGTTTAAAGAACTTTTTGTTAGTATCAGTTCAACCAGATAGCGAGAGAGGCAGAACTCATCAAAACAGTATGTTATATAAAAATAAATCACTTTAAAATATGCCAATAAATCTGTGAACCTGGGATAACTTCAGGGTAGTATGTATGAGGAATTTCTTGAATTTTTTAGTTATTCAAACTGTGCAGATATTCTGTTTGGTATATCTTTTTCTTTCTTTTGTGAACGCCTTTTTTTCTAAAAGAAGCTTTCCATTGACATAAAAGGCATTTTGCAAATGAAACATTTTTAATCTTCTGCCCATTACTCTGTACAATGTGTAAAATGACTGAAGTTTCTTTGAAAAAGGCTCTCTCAAGGCAAACGTATCTGCAAATAGATTGAGAACCAATCCAAAATCAGCTGGTTCCACAAGGTGCACTGGAGGCTGGCGTTTTAGAAGCGGCGTGTCAATCTTCACAGACGGGAAAGGGGAAGGGGCTCTGGGAGTGACTGGCTACATAGCACCTGCCATCGCCCGGGCCGGCACAGGGCACAGGGCACCTCTTTGAGGCATTTGACGGCAAAATAAGTTAACTTGAAATTCAGGTATTGTTCTAGCATGGTTGGTTATACAGAGTTTTAGCAACTTGAACATGCATTTTGAGCATGAGGGAGCTCTCTAAAAGTAAAGCCATGAGTCACGGGAAGGTGTGGAGAACCGGCAGGTTGCTGAATGTTGTGAAATGCAAATAAAAAGTTGGCTAAAGGAACAAAATAAGTCGAGCAGATGGATGGCAGGTGCCGGCTTGCTGTGAAATGAAAATCCATGAAAAATTAATGAAATAGAAAGATTGTGCTAAGGATGAGGGCAGAGCGGCCGTGGGCTCCTCAGCCCCTGCAGTGCCACGGCTGTCGGTACCGGTGTCGCCCTGGCCGGCGAGGGACACAGCCCCGAGAGGTGGCCGGCGGAGCCCCACACCCTCCGCTTATCTCGCTGGCTGACAGCTCGAGAGGAAGGGCTGGATTTGGTGATAAAATCAAATTGATTCAGCCCTTAACCAGCATCTAATTGTGTGGTGCTTTTTTTCCCTTTCTCTTTTTAAAAAATTTGTATTAGTGCCTCTGGTTTCTAGTGACCCGTGTAATAACAGTAATTTGAGATTGCTTCAAGGGCATTAGAGATGATGAGTGAGTTTGAATGCAGAATAAAAATATGGGATTCATGTATCCATATCTAAACAGGGGTGACTCGCTTCCTGCGGAAGCACCCCCCCAGAAGAGCATTATGTAAGGAAACACAGAAAACGAAATAGTCTTTATTTTTTGAGACATGAAAAGATAACTTATGCCCTAAAGTCATTTCATGTTCAATTTCAAAACTATACATGTATATAGTATGATATATATGCATACATATATATATACATGTATATTACTGTGTATATGTGTATATGTATATACACAGTAGAGACAGCTGAAACATTTAAGTAATTTTTATACCTGGTTGCTTCTTTTTCCAAAATAGTAGAAAATGAATGTCCGTATTTTTGCAACATGAACAGTTTTGGACAACTTCTAAAACCAAAATTAACTGTAATACTCTTCTTATCATTTAAGAATATTATATCAAAATAGATATTGCAACTATAAATTTGGTTCTTAATTATGAGCTCACAAGATTTCTAAAAGGATAATTTTCCACA